GGGCCCTCAGGGGTGGACTGTAAAAAAACACCCACCACTCTGCGGCTGGGCTGTACCTACTGTGCTCTGCAGAAATGACCACAGGGATATTTCTAGTGCCCCGTGCTCTTGCAAAACCTTGCTACTCTGCATTAAGAAGCAGAATCTGGGGCCAGCACGTGGCAAGGAGGTTAAGGCACTCGACTCCCACATGGTTGACTGCAGTTTGACCATGTGGGGGCTTCAAGTCCCAGGCCTCACACCTGCTACCTGTGCCTGTGTGCCAAAAATCCCAAGAAGAGAATGGAAGAGAAGGGCCTGCGGTGTGCACATCCCCCTGGGGGGTGAGTTCTCACTTTCTCTCTATCTCTGTCTCTCTCCAGCAAGCGCATATGCCCTACAGCAAAAATCTCTCCAAAAACAAACAAGCACAAAAAGCAGAATCTGTTTCCTCTCCCCGTGAACCGGAACCTGGGCAGGTCTGGTGGCCACCGAGGATGTGGTGGAAGTGGCAGGACATGACTTGCAAAGCTAGGTCACGGGCCAAGATACAAGTTCCTCTGGTCTCCCTCAGCAGCTCGCCCTGGGGACCCTGCCAATGGGGCACGAGGAGGCTCACACCGCGTGGAGAGGCCAAGGGGAGGTGGTTTGTGAACAGCCCCCGCCAGGGCCCCCAGCCAGCACCGACAATGAGCGACACGTGAGGTGAGCCCTCAGACGGTTCTGCCCCCAACCTGCGCTCCTCCCAGCCGAGGTCTCAGGTCCTGTGCAGCAGGAACAAACCATCTCCGGGGCCTGGAGGTGGTGCAGTGGTTGAGGAGCTGGACTCCCATAGGGCCGACCACGGTTCAAGTCCCAGACCTGGTGGCTTGCTTCCTCATTCTCCCTCTGGCTATCTCTCTTTGGTCAAAATGGAAGACTAATGGTAATTAATAAAATAAAAAATTAAAAACAAATAAATCTTAAAAAAAAAAAAAAGAAATAGTATTTCCACTGTGCTATGCCCCAATTCAAAGGAATCTGTGAGGATAATATGTACTTATTTTGCACAACTAAATTGTGGGGGAATCTATTAACACCATATTAGCTGGAACACAGACTTTTTTTTTTTTTTTAATTATCAGAAGATTTGTGCACCTGCCAGAAAGGGACAGAGACAGTGAAGGAGGGGAAAGCAGTCCCACCCACGATGGGGCAGTCGCGCTGCAATCCCTTCTCCATCTCCCCGCCCTGTCGGGACTGTGAGTATGCACGCACCTGCTCCCAACACGATTTTCAAGCCACCAGAACTGGGACTCAAGTGGGCCATGTGAGACCCAGGTTCCTTAACCACTAGACAACCAGACTGGCCCTCAAATGCAAACTTTTTTTTTTTTAAGAGAGATTTTTGCTTTAGGGCACGTGGGCTCTCCAGAGAGAGAAAGAGAGGGAGACAGAAAGTGACAAATAAGCCCCCCAGGGGAGATGCCCACGCCACAATCCCTTCTCCTCTATTCTCTCAGGATTTGGGGCATGCACGCACATGCGTCCGGCATGAGTTTCAAGCAGCTGGATCTAGGACTTGAACAGTGCTCAGCCACAAAGGAACCCAGAACCTAAACCACTACGCCACCTGCTAGTCCCTGGAACACACACTTTATAAAAAAGCAAGCTTAAAAAAAAAAAAAAAAGCATTTGGCCTGTTCTGAAAGTGACATGTGGATTGTTCTGGGTTTCGTGTTTTGATTCTTTGCACAGAGACGCTGCGATCTGTCCAGAGAACGGCAATGGGCCTGGGTCAGAGACACAACACCTGTGACCCGCACCTGGACTCCGGCTGAAATCGTCTCCTCAGCTGTCATCCTCTCGGGGTGCGCCCCGCTCCGAGGCAGCAGGGTCTCTAGTCCCTGAATCTCGTACAGCGAAACCACCCTGGTGGGGGAACTTGGGCGCGGCGTGACGAATCCCACCTCCACCCTCCCTTGGGTCTGTCTGGGTGGATGCTGGCTCAGAGTCTGTTGCTGACTGGAGGCTCGGACAGGAGGAACACTGCTGGACCTGGACGCTGGAGGACAGTGACAGCAGGGCAGCTTTCCAGAGAGCTTTGGGTTTGAATTGTCAGAGGGCATGTACGCTCACCAGAGAGAGGCAGAGAGAGGGAAGGAGAAGAACGTGCTGCAGGGTGCCATCATGCTGTAATCCCTTCTCCTTTTCTCCATCCTGTTGGGGCCTGGGGTGTGCATGGACACACGCCCCGAGGGCTTTCTAAGCTGCTGGGGCCAGGACTCAGACTGTAGCTGGCCATGTGGGCTCTGGCTCCCTTAACCACTAGGCCATGGGCTGGCCCTAGAGCTCTTGGTGTTGGCTTCCCATCGCCATGGGAGCCAGAGGGAGCAGGAGGAAGACAGAACATCCTCTCAACCCCACCCTGAGCAGTTCAACCTGCAAGAACCATTTCTTGAGCTGGCCCCACACTTTTGTAGTTAAACGAGCCGAATCTTACATGGTCAACCATGGTTCGAGTCCCAGCCTCAGCAAATTGAAACACATACTGCCCCAAGTCCCAGCCAGATGGAGAAGTAGAGAAGGGACAATGATGTGACCATGCCCCACTGGGGGACGCTTTCTCCCACTCCCCCTTTTGCTGTTTCTCTCTGGAGACTACGGCATGCAACCTCTGGCAGTGGGGGCAAAACGAATCAACAAAAAAAGAGCCATTTCCTGTACAATGCTATCTAAAAAGAGGCTTCAACTGCCAAATAGATCTACATACTGATCTTCCTTGAATTAGATGTGGCCAGTCTTCACAGT